TCGTCGGTCGTCTTGGTCGGTCGGGTATCACTTGACTTTAGTATAGTTAGATCTTCAATGTGGACTTGTCCGTTCAGAATAGTCCACTGAGAATTCCCATCCGGGCTTGGCCAAACGAGCGACTTTCACCTTTAGTGCTTCTGGGCCATCAGTGTTCTGGCGGATATCATCTGGGATCTTGTATAGGTTAATGTCGGGTATGCATGTATGGCACTCTTGTTATGCCAAGGAAGGCAGCTCCTGCGACTCGCTTGGTCGGGGAGAACTTTACGTCTTGTGAACATTTCCTTCCGTCTGGAACTTGATGCCGACCGGGAATTTCCGTCCGGGATCCACTTGGGGGACGTGGCAACTAAGCCAATGCATAACGTCCCATACCTTCACTGCGCACCACACCCTGTATCCACTGATCCATTTGTCACACGAACTGGCCACTCGAACTGACCAATCATATACCGTCTGGGAACATTGTCCCAAAATTGCGAATCACATCGTGTCATGGGCCTGTGAAGACCTATTTTTCCGAGAGTACCCGAGTACTCTCGAACCTGCGATAACTCTCGCCATGCAAGCGGATTTTAGCCTGCGGCAGGCTAAATTACATGTGAACGTTCCACTCCCGCCCGAACCGGCGGTTTAGGTGGCAGATGAGGTGGAAGGTCCAGAACCAATGGGCTTTTCAAGCGCAACTGCTGCGGGACAGCAGGGAACGAGAGCCAACGTGCGATGCTTCCGGTGCGGAAACATCGGACATTATGCACGCGAGTGTACGACACTAGTACACTCGGTCCAAGGTCGACGTGGCGATACCGGGTATACGGTCGGACAAACAACGCGACGGACCAGTAGGCGCGGGCGCCCTACTGGCAATGCAGTCACGCGTGGCTACAACGGACACGCGGTATGGAGACTGCAGCCCCCAGTGAGAGGGAATCTCACTGCAAGGTTCAAGATGACGTCGATGACGAAAAGACCGGACTCTCTTCGAGTGTTGGCAGACTCGGACGTGTCGGACAACTTGTTCGACAGCAACGTCTGCCGTTGTTGGACTTTGAGGACAATCATGTGCCTCGAAGTCAGTTGGAAGTACGATTGGCGAAGGGTGCCATCGTGAAGACCGAGAAGCGCGTAATTCGCGCACGCTTCTCGCACAAACACCGGGTGTTTGTGGAAGAACTCCTCGTCCTGGACTTGGAAGACAAGTTCGACATGGTGTTGGGCATGCCGGGGCTTGCACGGCATGATCCAACAATCGACTGGGAGAAGCGTACGGTCGTACGCTTCGGACGCCGCGGCGCAACAGAGGGCGATGGCCTTTGTTTGTGTTTGTAACAACTCCGGGAGTCGTTGACAGTAAAAGAGTGCCTGGTCAGGGACCAGACACTTCTAGAATGTTCTCCGCCATAAGGCGTCGAGGTGACAATAGCGTGTCGACTCCGGGAGTTGACACGCGCTCGATATCAGAATCGAGAAAGTTCTCCGCCGTGAGGCGTCGAGGTGACAACGTTGTGTCAGCTCTGGGAGTTTGTGACACACTGCTCCGCCGAAAGGCGTAGAGGTGACGACAAAGCATCGACTCCCGGAGTCGATGAGACAAGCTGTGTAGACGGTTGCAAACGTCCAGCACTGAAGCTTGCGTGCTGTCGTGCAGCCAGGCTGCACGAAGCATGGCGCGATCAAGCCGGGCTTGATGACGCGTGCCCGCGGGTACAAGAACCCGCCGGCGATCGCCCGCAGACTGTAATGTCTGCCGGTGATATCAAGGAACATTCGTCCGTGGCCGGGCTTGGACGAAACGCAAGTGAATCCGGGATTTCCAAGAAGAAGCGACGGCGCAAGAACAGGACGCTGCGCAAGTCTCGGTCCGGGACCGATACTCTTCATGGTTTGTCTGCTGGGCAGACACAAATGGCAACAATGGCCGTCGAGACTCTGAACATCTTGACGCGGACCAGTACTGGATATCAGTACGAGAAGATGGAGTTGCAGAACCCTCCGACAGATGCATCGGAGTTGACCTCGCTTCCAGTCATGAGCTGGAAGCGCTTCACAAA